AACTCATTATCCTGTCTCAGCCTCTTAAGTGCAGGGATTGTGGGCATGTACCAATAGGCATAGTGGGGACTTCTAAAAAAAATCTAATTAGAACAACTATAACCTAACACGTGCCTCCACCTCCCACCCCCAACACACGCTTTTTACAAAAACTTAATGCTTTTACTTTCTCTGTATTGAAATTAGCCAATCCTGGTACACATCTTTCCCATGTAATTCAGGTCACTAAGATCTAGAATGGCAATTGATAGTTGTGATTTTGTTCATAAAATGTAACTGTTTTATGTGGGCGGATGCTTCGCCTGCAAATATGTCTGTGCACCACATGCTTGGTGCCCACAGAGGTCAAGAGGGCATCAGATTCCCTGGAACTGGAGTTGAGGTTGGCTATGAAGCACCGTGGAGGTTCTGAACTGAACCCCGGTCCTCGGAGCCGTAAGCGCTTTTAGTCCTCGAGCCATGTCTCCAGCTTCTCTTTCCTTCTGTTTTGACACAGGGTCTTGCTATGGAGCTTTTGCTGGCTGGCAACTCCCTGAGACTCCAAACTCAGACTTGTGGTGAGTCTCCTGCCTCTGCTCCCCAAGTGCTGGAGTCACGGATACTGTGCCACTATACCCATTTTTTTTAAAAAGGGGGTTGTGTGTTGGGATGTAGGCAGGAAAAGATTTTACAGACACCTTCGGAAATGGAAGTGGTGAGAAGCTACGAGCTCTCTTCCTAGAAAAATGAACATAAACACGCATGTGCTCAGGGTCAGACTGCAGGAAAGCTGAGGCCGAACTGGCAGACTCTGCTGTGGTGAACTCAGTTCGTGTTCGCGTGTCCTCACCTGAGCTTGTGTCTCTCCTTGTCAGGCCATCTCTAGGGACTCTGGCTGACTTCTAAATGACTTCCAGTGACCGTTTCCTCTACCAGTCAGTACTCAGCCTCCCACATACTTGTTTGGGGGAAAGAGTCAGGTTTTCAAGGACACTCATGAGGCCCCTCCGTCACAGGGTCCCTGTGGCAATCTTCAGTGTGTCTCTCTGTCAGATCTGAGACGCAGATCCGTGCTTTTTGTGAAGCCGGGCTGGCTATTTTTATCCACCTCCCCTCTTACCCCGTCTCCTGAAATGCGCTGTGGCTCAGCTGATTAGTGTGCTAGCCACGCAGAGAGGCTCGAGGCTCACGGATAAAGGCCAATCAGGGCTTTGGAAAGCAAACTCAACTCCTCCAACATGGACATGCTGGCCCTTCACAATGAACACGAGCAGAATCAAATCTGCTTAGGGGAACGGTTTCGTGACTTCCAAGAATGCTGGAATTCAGAAGAGATGTGGAAACAACTCCTTGGGTGAGAAAAGATCAGCATCCTTGATGGTGTCTTTTTCTCTACTCATAATTAAACACTGGAGATGGGGGAGTCTGATTTGAAAGAGACAGTGAGGCAGCTGGGGCTGTCCTGGATGGCGCTTACGGGTGGACAGCGTGTAGCGCGCATACTGCTCAGGAGGTGAATGGCGTCCAAACCCAGCCCCAATGATATCCATATTGCACTTGCTGAGTCTGCCCAGAAGGAGGACCCTTTCCTAACACATCCATTTAAAAGGGGAGGGGTACTTATTTCTTCTTCTAATTCTTCTGAGGTACCAGAGCTCAGCGGCTGGCCCTGAAGACGGCTATGACTCTCCGAGTCTGTTGTATTTGGAATGAATTTTTTAAGCTGTCCTTGCAAGCCAATCTGGCTTACATCCCAGGCTGTGAGCCAGCGGCTCAGAATCACCTGGGGGAGGGGGTGAGGCACCTACCGGAACCATAGAGGGCTAGGGGCTTGAGAATATGCATCTTTAACAAAGGCCCAGGAGATGCAGAGGTTGCAGATCCAGGGACCTCGCTTTAAGAACCAGAACTGGAAGTGGCTCCAGGGGAATCTTGTCCATGTTTACTAATGAAGGCCTCACAGCATGTACAATAGCCTAGGTACCCTAACTGAAGGGCTATCTCAGTTATCCTGGTTTGGGCTTCGCCTTGATAATAACATACCCATCTATCTGAAAGAGCCACAGTTCCCTGCACGACCTTGAGCCAGTAAAGTGGCTGAGGAGCCATTCTGTGGCTGGGCTCATTTCTATTCATTTAATTTCCTGAGAGTCTGTGTGTCAGGTAATGAAGGAGCCACCGTGTTCCAGGCCAGCGGCTCAGCTGGGCTGCTGAGGTCTGCAAGAGTTTACACCAAATTGATGGCGTGATTCTCAGACCCCTTGCTGCCTGACAAGGCTGCTGCTTGTTTTGGTTGGGACTGTGACTGTGGACACAGCGGGTGGAGACCGCTCTGGGGTGGATAGGCGCCCTGATGGTCTACACCCACCAAAGCCTATGCCTTCCAACCACAACTCAGCCGCGAAGAGGATTTTGTGATCAATAGACTCCTTGAGTTGTTAAATGCCTTCTTCCAGCTCATCCTAAGTAAATAGGCAGGAATTCTTACAGACTGGACTGGAGAGCCCCTGTTTCATCTAATACATTATTCTAGCTTCAGGCTCTTGTAATAACCTGAGAATTCTAAAGGAACCTTGCTTACGCTAGGCAAGTCTCTCTCTCACTCTTAATTAAATGCCCTCAAGTCATCACTTCCTTGTTGCAGGCTTAGCTGAGCTGGAAAAGAACCTGGGTTCATCCTTCATATTCCTTTACCTTATACTCACTCTCATTTTGGCTGGTTGTCAATCTCTTTTCTCATAAAAAAAAAAAAAAAAAAACCAAACGTTTTTATGATGTTTGTATATGTGTGATATGTGCATCACAGTGTTTGTGTAGGAGTTAGCGGACAACTTTGTGACATCAGTTCTCTTCCTTCACCTTTACTGTGGGCTCCGAGGATTGATCTCAGGTCACCAGTTTGGTGACAGATGCCTTTATCCACTGAGCCATCTTGCTGGCCCCAAGCTTGCAATGTCTTGCCCCCTTGAGCAGAGTCCAGCACTCCTTTTAAAATGTCTTTCCTGAAAAGTCCTCAGTAGCATCCAGGTGTTAGAGATACCAGCTGACACTTTTCCCTCCTGGTTATCAAGGCGGCAGATTCTAGGTCCTCCAGGTACCTGTCCTTTGGTTAAACTTCTAATTAGTGCAGGCCTAGCCTTGTACTATGTCCTCTATGACTATCCTTGTGACATTTCCTATGAGTTGGCAACAAAGGAACCATGAGCTCTGACAAGAGCACATCAAGAGAGAAGGCATTACTTCACCTGCTGCCTGCCTTCCTTCCTGTCTGCCTTCCTTCCTTCCTTCCTGCCTGCCTTCCTTCCTGCCTGTCTTCCTGTCTGCCTTCCTGCCTGCCTGCCTTCCTGCCTGCCTGCCTTCCTGCCTTCCTTCCTGCCTGCCTGCCTTCCTCCCTGTCTGCCTTCCTTCCTTCCTGCCTTCCTTCCTTCCTTCCTTCCTTCCTATCTGCCTGCCTGCTTTCCTTCCTGCCTTCCTCCCTGTCTGCCTTCCTTCCTGCCTTCCTTCCTTCCTTCCTGCCTGCCTTCCTTCCTGCCTGTCTTCCTGTCTGCCTTCCTGCCTGCCTGCCTTCCTGCCTTCCTCCCTGTCTGCCTTCCTTCCTTCCTGCCTGCCTGCCTTCCTGCCTTCCTTCCTTCCTGCCTGCCTTCCTTCCTGCCTTCCTTCCTTCCTATCTGCCTGCCTGCCTGCCTTCCTTCCTTCCTTCCTGCCTGCCTTCCTTCCTGCCTTCCTTCCTGCCTTCCTTCCTCCCTCTTCCTTTCTTTGTGTGTGTGTTATATATGTATATGTTGGGTAGGTGTTGGGAAAAGATCTGTGGTCCCTCTGAGACTTGCTTCCCAGTAAACAAACAAGCAAATAACAACAAAATAAAAATATCCAGAAGAATTTAAGGACCGTAGGAAATAATCCCAGAATCCTCTCCATCCCCTTGTTTCATAAAAGACAGGACTGGGAATATCTTCCAAACAGCCTAGTACATGAAAAACATCCTGTGTGTGTGCCACAGTAATCTGAGCTGCGATGGGTATTTGGACAAACCAGGGAGATGCACTTACTCTTCAGCAGGTGCAGATCTGGGAAAACGGAAGCAAAAAAAAAAACTAAACAAACCGAGTCCATAGCACCAGCTGGCAGCATGAATGACTAACATGGCCCTTACCCATTCGTACAATGCAGCCTTTCTCGTAAAGATGGATTGGGGAGGGGTCAGCTGCTGCTGTAGAAACTCTAGGCACGGGAGGAATAAGGGCGAGAAACGACTACAGTACAACCTAGGATACACCCAGGACAAACAATGTGACTTAGGACTATAGACACATAAAGTCAGCTCTATCCTAAGTCACCGGTTGGGCGTGCTCGCTTCTATTTATAGCCAAGGACACAAGCCACCTGATGACTGATTCGGAGAAAGCAGAGGACTCAGGTCCATCCAACCAGTGTTGAGCATCCAGGGAGGGTGTTCCATTCATCACAGTGCCAAGCAAACCTTGTTTTCATTTAATGACAATGAGCAGAACTTGTTTAAAATCTTTGTATGATATTAAAGAAGAACAAAACCAAAACCAAAAAGCCAGAACAATACTTTCAACAGGATCATCCAGGTACCTAAGCCTCCATCTGTCCTTGACATCTTAGAGAACTTGTACGTATCTGATGAGGGACTGTTTGAGTGTTTGCTGCATCCAGGGACTGTTACTAAGGTGCTGCAGATGATGTTGAAGTTTGGGATAAATTAGGATGGGTTTGAAATTTATCCCACAGAGAACAATGGAGCCCCGTGTATACACGATATGAGCATCAAGCATGCCCACGTCCTACTTGGTCAATAGTTCTGTGGTTATTTCAGACCGAGCTTCTACAATTGCATCTCTATTGGGCTCACCAGACAAAGCTATTTCCAATACAGGAAGCACCGGCCTGCCCTTTCTTGCTGTCCTTCTAGGTTACACTTGAAGCTGGGTGTACCGAAAACCGAGTCAACGTGTTATGAAACCGTTCTCCAAGTTATTCTGGGCCATCTGACTTACCGTACCACTCATCAACCCACGCAAAGGCCTGTCTGTGTCCAATCAGCAGGATGTCTCGGACCACCTGAAGAGGAAGAGAGGGAGGTTGAAGTAACACCAGATGTGATCAAGGTTGTCTGAGGGTTATCTGAGGGGTTGGAGGCACAGCTCACCGGGTAAAGGGCTGGCTTCTTGAGCATGAGGACCTGAGTTTGTATCTTGAGCACCCATGGAAAAATTAGATGTGTTATGTATGCCTGTAAACTGGGGAGTGATGCGCAGAGTGGAATTGGGGGATAACCAGCTGGCCAGCCAGTCTGGTCTGTCAGAGAACCCCAAGTTTAGTGAGAGAGCCTGTCTCAAGACATAAGCTGGGGTCATCGAGACATGTCTGAGGGTAGAGGCACCTCCTGCCAAGCCTGTCCATCTGAGTTCAGTCCCTGGGTCTCGACTGGTAGAAATGGTGGTGGGAGAGTACAGATTCCTGAAAGTTGTCCTCTGACCTCCTTAAGCGACATGGCAGTCAATGCCCCCCCCCCCCGCTAAATAAACAAACAAAATATAGTAAAGTAATTAAGAGAAATTTAAAAAAGCTTTAGAGGTAAAGGCAGAGAGGAGAGAGATGAAGACACAGTGCGTGCACGAAGACCTCTCTTCCATACTTAGACAGATAGACTCCAAATAATAGCAATAAAGTAAAACAATATGAAATAGTTTAGCCCAGCTTTCTTATTTCATTTCTGTCTCCCATTTATTTATTTATTTATTTATTTATTTATTTATTTATTTATTTATTTATCTATCATTTTGAAACAGGGTTTCTCTGTGCAACAGCCCTAGCTGTCCTGGAACTCACTCTACAGATCAGGCTGGCCTTGAACTCACAGAGATCTACTTGCCTCTGCCTCCTGAGTGCTGCGATTAAAGGTGTGCTCTACCACGACCTAGGTCATCTCTTTCTTAAAGATCTATCTACTTGTTTTTATGTATATGGGTGTCTTGCAAGCATGAATGTGTGTGTACCACATGCATACAGTGTCTGAGGAAGTCTAAAGAGGGTGTCAGGCTCTTGGGGCTGGAGTCACAGATAGTTGTAGGCCATCACGTGAGTGCTGGGAACCAAATCTTGCTCCTTTGGAGGAGCAGCCAGTGCTCTGAACCACTGAGCCATTTCCTCAGGCCTGTATCACTAGTTTTTTTTTTTTTTTTTTCCTTTTTATTATATGAAAACCAAGCAAGCCTACAAGGATATTTACCTGTCTTGTGTCTCACATATTGTGAGAGTGATGTTTTGGTCATACGCACTCATTGCTCAATGCCAAACAGAACAAAGTAAAGTTTGCTGACACCCAACACCCCAGCTCTGGCCGAGAGCAACCCAGAGGAACAAAGGTGGGATGTGGATGCAGGGGACACTCCATCAGAGAAGAGAGAATGGGGTCACTGTGTGGTTTGAATGAGAATGACCCCATAGGCTCACAGGCTGGAATCCTTGGTCCCCAGTTGGTAGAACTGTTTGGGAAGGATTAGGAGGTGTGGCCTTGGTAGCGGAGGTGCATCACTGCGGGTGGGCTTTCAGGTTTCAAGGACCTACACCCTTCCAGTTAGTTCTTTCTGGCTCCAACTTATGGATGAGATGTAAACTCTCTTCTACTGCTCCAGTACCATGCCTGCTTATCTGCTGCCATGCTCCTTGCCATGGTGATCACGGACTCACCCTCTGAGACTGTTAGCAAGCCTCCAACTAAACACACCTACCAATTTATTTATTTATATATTATGCATACTGTGTTCTGCCTGCATGCCACAAGGGAGCACCAGATCTCATTATAGATGGTTGTGAGCCACCGTGTGGGTGCTGGGCATTGAACTCAGGACCTCTGGAAGAGCAGGCAGTGTTCTTATCCTCTGAGCCCCAAACACAGTCTTTTATAAGATGCCTTGGTTATGGTGTGCCTTCGCAGCAATAGAAAAGTCACTAAGACAATGATCTTTGCTATTCAGAAAAGCATTCATCTCCATCAAGACCTCTGCCCTCCTTGGTAGGAAATGTAGGCTCTGTACTAGTTAAATCTCAGGGTGACTGGCCTAGTCATCCCAGCTATTGCTGAGTGAGCATCCGGAAGCCATCAGAAGTTTATACACACCTTCAGCCTGACTCACAAGACGGAGCCATGCATGTACACCAGGGATGGAAGAGGGCTGGCCAAGAGCAAGCACTAGGGCTCTTGAGATAGCTCAGCAGGTCAGGCGCTCACTGTGTACCCTGACTATCTAAGCTCCCTCCCTGGGACCAACGCATGTCCTCTGACCTCCATAGCATGCCATGGCACTCTCACAGGCTTACCAAAAGGCAAGAGCAGATACCTCGCCTGTGCATGCCAGCCTTTGGTTGCTAGCACATATGGACAGAGGATTAAGAAACTGACGGTTTTTCCTTACGAACTTGAGTATTGTTCTTTCAAGGTCTGAACTCAGGTTCTTGTATCCGCATAGCCTGCAATTGTTTCTTATGGGGAAATTGGGATGGAAGGCTAAAGGAAAAAAATATATATTTTATTCTGTATAAATATGCTTGTGTATGAGAGCTCTCGCCAGAGTGTACACATGTAAAGGGCTGAGGGCTGATGTTGGAAGAGCCTTTTATTGCTATGATTTATCCAAACGTTTTTTTTTTTTTTTTTTTTTTTTTTTAGATTTATTTATTATGAATACTGCCTCCATGTATCCCCACAGGCCAGAAGAGGGCACCAGATCTCATTGCTGATGGTTGTGAGCCACATGTGGGTGCTGGGAATTGAACTCAGGACCTCCAGAAGAGCAGTCAGTGCTCTTAAGCGTTGAGCCATCTCTCCAGCCCTTTATTTAAACTTTTTTTTTTTTTTTTTAAAATATTAACTATGTGTGTGTGTGTTTGAGTGTGCGTGTGAGTGCATATGTGTGTGATGGCACATGTGTGAGTGTTGGAGGACATCTTGCAGAAGCTGCTTCTCTCTTTCTCCCATATGGACTCTGAGGACTGAATTCATGTCAGCAGGCTGGGTGCTAAGTGCCTTACCCACTGAGCTGTGCCAGGCTTCATCTTATTTTTCGAGACAGGGTTTCTCATTGAGCCTGGAAACCACCAACTGGCTGGGCTGACTGAATAATGAGCCTCTGACTGTCCCCTTAACCCGGCCCCAGCCTGCGCCTGTGTTAGTGTGTCACATTTACATATACATTGCCACACCTAGACCTAGCATTATGTTGGTGCTGTCGAATCTCAAGCAGCAAACACTTTACTTCTCGAGCCTTCTCCTCGGCCCATAAATATTCCTTATTACATTTCTTGGAAACTCACAGACTGCCTCTAGCATGCCTCCTTTTCTTTTTGCCAAACAAATCCAGTGACTGTCAAAAACCTCTCACAGAAGCTTGAAGTGTGTTTCGATAAGCAAAGGGTTTTAATTGGGTGGATTTGCAGAAACAAGAGAAGCGTTTCTAATGAAGTGTTTATTCCTCTAGGCCTCTGGGTATCTGGTGAGGTCCTTTTATGATTTGGAAGTGGAGACATGTAATGAATCTAAGAAATACCATGCGGCCATACACACTTGAGTGCTGACTGTGTCAAATTCATGGAAATCAAAAGAACAGCATAAAGGCACTTGTAAATCCACCCTATCATATTAAGCACAACACAGCTGTGGCTGGCAACAAGGCTTCAATAATGTGTTAATGGCTGGCTTTTGAATACCCCCCCCAATACTGTGAATAGATTCTTAAAAAACAAAGGTGTTTAGAGACCCCACCCCCCTTCAGTCCGGGTAAACACTCCCTCATTAGCAGAGCAGGTGTGTTGGGGGTAGGGGGTTATAACACTTCATTTAGTTTGGAATTGGGCAAGGGGGAGGGATACATGACCAAAGCATCATTCTCACAGGTATTTTAAAGAGATGGGTTCTCAGAACCAGCCAGACTCATCATAAGGAAATAAATGGAACGCGCTCCGGGCAATTTAAATGTGCTTTGTGAGCGAAAATAAGATGCATGACCACAACAATGATTTCCTAGTTAAAGGAGATGATTTTGGGAAGACCGAAAAAAACAAAACCAGCTCTACCATAGGAGGCAGGTGTGGTGGCATACGCCTGTAATTCCAGCTCTTGGTCACTTGAGGCCAGCCTTGGCTACATGGTTGAGTTTGAGGCCAGCCTTGGCTACACAGTGAGAACCTCCTTCAAAAGAATTAAAAAACGGGAGCTGGAGAGTTGGCTCAGTGGTTAAGAGCACTTGCTGATCTTGCTTAGGAGCTGGGTTGGATCCCCAGCACTCATATGGCATACAATACCCTCTCCTGACCTTCGTGGACAACAGGCATGCCCGTGATGCATAAATAGAGGCAAAAACATAAATCTAAAAAAAAAGAAAGAAAGAAAGAAAGACAAAAGCAAGAGGAGAATGAGAGAGGCAGGGAGAGGGGAAGAGAGGCAGGAAGAGATTGTAAGTAAGAATGAGGGGACCGTGCAGACATGGAACGGAATTTAGGCTGAAACATATTTACTCTGCATTTGTCTTCCTGATCAATAACCAAGGTCAGGACACAGAAACAAGAGGGCTCTGTGACGGTCAATTATAATTGTCCACTCAACACAGTCTAGAGTCACCTGGGAAGGGAGCCCCAATGAGGAACTGCCCAGATCAGGGTGACCTATGGGCTTGTCTGGGAAGGGTTTTTCTTTTTCTTTTTATTGAGACAGGGTCTCGCTATGTAGCCCTACCTGGCCTGCAATGTGCTACATAGACAAGGCTGGGCTTAAACTCACAGAGATATATGCCTGTCTCTGCCTTCCAAGTACTGCAGTTAAAGGGGTTACACCACCATGTCTGGCATGAAGGATTTTTATTAACTGCTTTAACTGCTGGGTAGTTCTGTCCATCATGGGTGGCACCATTCCTTAGGTTTATGTTCTGAACTGTGTAAGAGCAGAGAAAGTGAGCTGAACAGTAGTCATGCATGCATTAATTTCTCTCAGCTCTTGACTGTGGCTGTGATCTAAGTAGCTGCTTCACATTCATGCTGCTGTGACTTCCCCACAATGATGGAAGGCAGTTGGAATTGTAAGCTAAAAAATCAACCCTTTCTGGTCCAGGTTTCCTTTTGTCACACTATTTTATCACATCAAGAGAAATGTTAACTAGGGCAGTCTGTGAACTTGGCCACTCTATACCTCACTCTGTTCCCTCTTCTGGTTGGTGGGATGTGTATGGAAGCCCAACAAAGAACTACATGCTTTTCAGGTAAGAAAACCATAAGACCATCCATCCCAGAGACTGCCTGGGTGGTGAGGGAATGGGAGTATTCTCAGTTCTAACTTCAAGAATGAAACTTTCTAGCTAGAAGCGGCAAGATGCACACCTGTAAATCCCAGCTCCTGGGGGAGACTGGAGCAGGAGGAGCTTTAGGCCAGCCTCAGCAGTATAGTGAGATCTCCATCTCAAAACACAAGAACATGTATCCATGTTGCTATTGTCAAGTGACCCCAGTCTGCAGACAGGTTCAGTTAGGTAAGAAAAACTCAGTGCCTGAAGGAAAATCAGCGGTGTTGAGAAAGGAATTCTGGAAAGCTATTCTTTGTTAGGTATTAGCAGAGAAACAGAGAGCCAATTTTTCTAAAATACATAGGAAAAAAAAGCTCGAAATATTTTGTTCGTGTGTGTATATGTGTGTGTCAGGGTTTTATAGACATCCTGTAGCCCAGGATGGCCTTGAACTCACTATGCAACTGAGGATGAATTTGAACTTCAGATCTCCCTGCTTCCAACTCCAGAGTGCCGGGATTACAGCTGGGCATCACTAGGCCTGGTTTATGCAGTAGTGAAGATGTAATACAGGGCTACATGCGCACACTAGGCAAGTAGCTGTCAATAGGGCCACAACCCAGCCTCTGTGGCTTTGGGAATCCCTTATGTATATGTAATATATTTTATTTATTCATTTTGTCTTTCTCCTATATTTTTGGTTGCAAGCCTAGCCTTTAACGGCCGAGCCATCTCTCTAGCCCTGTTTGGTCTTTTTCAAGGAAGTTTTTCTGTCTAGCCCTGACTGTCCTGGAACTTTCTCTGTAGATCAGGCAGGCCTCCAAGTCAGAGATCCACCTGCCTTTGCCTCCTGAGTGCTGGCATTAAAGGCGTGTGCCACCATTGCCCAGCTGTTTAACATTTATAACATGTATTCATTGTTATGTGTACACATGCTCACACAAGCCTCTACACATGTGTGGCAGTCAGAGGATAACTTGCAGGCATCTGGTCTCTCTTCTATTGTGTGAAGACTGAGCTCAGGTTGTCAGGCTTGGCAGCGAGTGCCTTTACCACGGAGCCATTTCGCTGGCCTGATTATTTACCCGTATGTAAATGAAAGCAGTTACACAGAGCACAGCTCAGCATCTCATGTCCCATTATTTTAGAGTCACGTGGAGAACAGTCGTATTTGAGACCCCGAGAAAACTTGTGTCATCATCAAGTCGGTCCCGGCACCAAAGTTAATCTGTTTTCCAAAGTGAGTACCAGGTTAAAAATCTGTGCTCTGAGCTTGTTCACCATTCTTTAGTACCGGAACAAGGAAGTGAGCAGAGCGCTGAGGTGTTGCCTCCTAATGGGCCCCCTCGGAGCTCGTGTTCTGTCTCTTGGGGGCTCTTCTACTTTTGGTGCCTACGTATGCAAGTTCTTCCAAGGGACAATTATCCCTGGCAGCTGTGCCCAGAGATAAGCCTTCTGGGTTCTTGCCAAGTGCCCCCACCTAGAGGTAGATTAGCCTGATTGCCAGAGCGAGCCCAACATTCTGCGAGGCCCACTTCCCAAATATACTCATCCACTAGATTCGGAGGTCACAGAATGAGAGGTGACATATTACAACTGCTACCCTGAGCAGTGGGAAGAAATTACACCTATGGGAAAATGCATTTTCACCTAAAAAGCATTTTGTAGATATAGGTACCTGCTACGGGTTCAGCTTAGCAATGATGCAGTGACCTTGTCTGAATCCCAGGGACGGGGCTGATCACTCACCTTGTGCACAAATTGCTCCACGCGGGTCTGAAGGCCCCACACCTCGAACTTGACGGTCACTAGCTTGTAGGAGCACATGATGGGCTGATGGCTATCTCGCCAGCCCTCTCTTAGCTGTCCCCGGCCTGTCTTCTCAGACTTGAAGTGTTTAGGATCCTAGAAAAGATACACAGAATGAACTGGTATGTTAAGACTTTAGAGCTGTGAGAGCACAGGTCTGTAGTCCCCCCTCTCGGCAGGAGGATCACAACTTCAAGATCATCTCAGATACATACCGAGTCTGAGGCAGCTTGGGCTACCTGCTCTTTGTCTCAAAAAAAAAAAAAAAAAAAAAAAGATATCTTTATGAAATGGCCTCATGGTGGTGCACCGCCTTTAATACCAGCTCCAGGGTGGCAGAAGCAGGAGGATCTCTGTGAGTTCGAGGCCAGCCTGTTCTACAGAGCTACACAGAGAAACCCTGCCTCAAAAAAAACAAACAAAACAAAACAAAAAAAAAAAAACCCCAAAAAACCAAAACCCATACAACAACAACAAAAGTCCAGAATGGGCAAAATCTACACAGACAAAAAGGAGGTGAATGGCGACTAGGGACTGGAGTGAGGGAAGATTGTGGGATCACTAATAAGGGGCACTGGTGACGAGAAGAGAGGGGAAACACGCAGGAGAGGCTGGGCAGATGTCTCAGCAGGCAAACACTTGCCATGCAGCCTGAGCGCCCAAGTTCCATTCCTGGAACCCACATAAAAAGCCAGATGTGGTGGTGAACATCTGCAAACCCAGCATGCCTATGGGAAGATGGGAGGGAGGTAGAGATAGGAGGAGTAGCCTGGGCTACGTCGTGCAGAGGAGAATCAAGAGACCCTGCCTCATGGGGGGGGAGAGACAACGGCCTCTGGGAAGCTGTCCACTGACCTCCATGTTCACGCACACTTACACACACATACATGGCACACACGCAGACATAGTCACACACATGCATGCGCACACGCACACACATGCACACACACAGACATAGTCACACACGCATGCATACATAGACACTCACACACACACAGACATAGTCACACACACGCATGCATACACACACGCAGACATAGTCACACACACGCATGCATACACACACACTCACACACACAGACATAGTCACACACGCATGCATACACACACACTCACACACACACAGACATAGTCGCACACATGTGTGTGCGCACACACACATGCACATATGTAGATGTAGTCACACACATGTGTGTGGTACACACACACACACACACACACGCAGATTTAAAAAAACAAAGAAAAGGAAAACACGCTGGGAATAGTGATGGCAGCTACATAGCCTTGTGGCTATACAAAAACCATGAGATTACACACTACGTAAGAGATCGAGGGCTGAGGGTGTCCCTCAGGGATAATAGAGTCCTTGCTTCACACACGTGCATTATATGTACTCCAATTTTAGAAATGGGAGACTATAACACAGTTGGCTTGGTTCTTTACTAACATTAAGTATAAACATTTAAGTGTCAAACATTGTCATTAAAAACTAGACTTATGAAACTGCATTTTTTTTCTTATTCTTTAAAAGAGAAATTATATTTAAGTTGGGCATGGTGACTCACGTCTTTAATCCCAGCACTCTGGAGGCAGAGCTCTGTGAGTTTGAGGCCAGCCTGGTCTACATCACATTGCAGGCCAGCCAAGGCTACAGAGTGAGAGGCCTGTCTGGGAGAAGGAAAATTAATTTTGGTTTTTTCTTTGCTTATTGTTTGAGACAGGGTCTCCTATAGTCCAGGCTGGCTTCAGACTCTACACCATTAGGGCTGGTTTTGAGTCCCTCCTGATCATCCTGCTTCTCTCTGCTAAGTGCTAGGGAAAGAGACATGAGCTACCACGACGATGTTTTATTTATTTATTTATCTATTTATTTACTTTTGGTTTTTCAAGACAGAGTTTTACAGTGTAACAGGCCTGGCTGCACTGGCACTCACTCTGTAGACTAGGCTGGCCTCAAACTCACACAGATCTGCCTGCCTCTGCCTCCCGCGTGCTGGGACTAAAAAGGGGTGTGCTACCACTACCCAGCTATGTTTAAAAATACATAATTTTCAGGAACATAAGGAAGCATTGCAGGTTCTCAGGAACTCGATGTGCAGTCTTGGGTCTGGCCACTTGTCCTGGGATCCTGATCCCATGAGTGGGGTGTAGCACCCTAGAATGGCAAAGAACCTCACACACGGTACAAGCTGCAAGATGGAGCAAGAAATGATGACTTCTCCTCCCCCACAGAGACCTGGGAGCTAAGGCGGGGAGGTGGGGTGGGTAATAGATGGTGTAGCTAGTAAACCATCCCAGGACTCTCACAGAAACCTGCAAGTCCAGCTGTGATGGGAAACAGAGACGGAGATATCGGAAAACTTATAGATCAGCTGTCTCAAAGCAACATACAAGATTTTCTTTTGACCTGCGCATCCCCACATATGAAAAAAAAAAAAACACACACACACAGAGGCAGCCAGGGGGAGACATGAACCCAGAAGCCGGAGCGGTGGCAGCCCAGCCTTTGTACCTCAGATGATGACAACTCAGATGTGGTTGAGGTTCTGCAAGGCCACCTAGGGATGCCTCTGACAAGGGTTCTCAGGCTGCCCTTGAACTCCATCATACATCCATACTTCCCCAGAAAACACAGACAGCCTCTGGGGTCAATTCCCACACTCAGCCTTTAGAGTGGAAGCTGTGACCTCAAGATTCTGCAAGGCTGGTTCACTGACGGGAACTTTACGACCACTGAGTATCAGAATGGCATCCACGATCACCTTGGCACTATCTCCAGCATCCTTGGTAGATATTCACTGCATGCTTCTGTATCTAACCTGACATCCCCTTACTATCATCTGAAGCCTTTGGGATGTATTTCTAGCTGACCACTTGTTCCCTTCAACCCAAATTTAAGGGTGTTTTTGGATAGCATCTGAGGCCTGTAGTAGAAATTCCCTGTTTCGATGTAACCCACCTACCTGATGTTTCTACCAATGCATTTCAAAGATGCCTTAACTTTCTGGGATTATAAACTGTTCATGTAATGGCATCCATGGTGGAAGACATTAAGAAAGAAGTTTTAAATGTTTTTATTTTATATGCATTGGTGTTTTGCATACGTGTCTGTGTGAGGGTGTCAGGTGCCCTGGAACTGGAGTTGCAGACAGTTGTGAGCTGCCATGTGGGTGGGTGGTGGGAATTGAACCCAGGTCCTCCGGAAGAGAAACCAGTTCTTGATGGCACAACACATATTTAAAACTATGTTGCCGGGCGCTGGTGGCGAACACCTTTAATCCCAGCACTCTGGGAAGCAGACACAGGAGGATCCCTAAGTTTGGCCAGCCTGGCCTAGAGAGTGAGTTCCAGGACAGCCAAGGCTATGCAAAGAAATCCTGTCATAAAAACTGCCCCCCCAATAAAATAAGTAAAGATAAAACTAAATTAAAGTTATAGCAGGCTACTGTGAAGTAAAGTTGTGGGAGAGGCTGGGTGAATGAGAAGTTATGTTTACCAGAGCTAGAAGGGAAGTTCTGCAAAAGCTGTACGAATTTACATTTAAATTTTCTTTAATGTGTGCGTACACGTGTGCACCACGGTACACACGTGGAAGTCAGAGGACAACACAGGGGTCAGGTCTTCCCCGCCCCCCACATGGTTCTGGACATCACACTCAGGTCAGTAGGCTGGGCAGCAGGTGACTCTGCAGGCTGAGCCACCTCATCAAGCCAAAATTTGAATCTTTTAAGCGGACAGTGAAAATTGGGTTTCATGCCCCCAACTTGCTAGATAAAGCCACAAGACTTGAGAAATATCAGATATTTCACCTGCGGATCACAGGTCCTTCAGGACAGTCCACTGTTCTCTCTGCCACATTCACTTTTAAAATTAAACACCCAAAGGGTGTTTGGCTTTTACACAGCTCAATGCTGAAGAAGCAATTAACAATTGGGCTTTGTATGGGAACAGTATGTTCCCCTGCCCCGAGACTGGTGTCATATCCACAGCTGATAATTTCATCAAGTAAATCTCAAACTCTGCCTATAATTAGAGATTCACATTCAAATGTTGGAGGGAGGTACAGGAGCGAGGTTTGCAGAAAGACACCTTTAATCCAAACTCCGGATCAGATGCAATCATCAGATGAATGTGTCTGGGTAGCAATGAGCAAGAAAAGGGTGCTTGTGTGTGTGTGTGTGTGTTTGTGTGTGTGCGTGTGCGCACGCACGTGCTTGCAGTCACATGTAGACCAGGCTGGCTCCAAACTCAGAGATCCGCCTGCCTCTGCCTCCCATGTGCTGGCATTAAAAGTGAGCTAGGTTGTTAGCCTTTGACAAAAGGATCTGATGCTTTGCTGAGGTGTGACCAAGAAGCTGTTGCTTTTGTTTATGATTATTATTTTTGAGACAGGGTTTCATTCTGTAGCCCCAGCTGTCCTAGAACTTGTGGCAATCCTCCTGCCTCAGCCTTCTGACTGCTGGAGTCCAATACACTGAAAGTTTTGTGCAGTAGCCTGGCGATTCCCCAAAGGATTTGTTGAGTGCCTGCCTTCGTCCCTGGAAACTGGGCCCAATGTGATTGGACACCAAGGTCTTTGCAGATGTAATTAAACTTCAGATGAGATCATCCTGGCTTAAATGGATGGGCCCTAGATCTAATGACAAGTGTCCTTGAAAGAGACAGTCATTTGGGGACAGAGGCAGAGATTGGAGTTGTCCAGTTACAACCCACGACCTCCCGTAGGAACCAGAAGCCAGAGCATTCAGAACCTTCTCAGGATCTCAAGAACGTGACAGAAACCTCCAGGGAAGGGGTGCAGGCCCAGCAAGTTCAAGTCCCGGAGCTTGACTCTAACTGGACTTGGGAGGGAGGGTCTGGGCACCTCACTTTTCAGATCTCCCATGGTGTAGCCACTGCTACTAGATAGAAGCAGACGAGGAACCTGGAACCTAGAAATGATCAGCCACCTGTCTAATATTGCCCCCCATTCCTTCGCCCAGGTGCTCAGCCCTTCTTGCCCACTGTCCCTCCCCACCCCATGCTTTGATGACACTTAACCACAGGAAAAAGCAGGCTAGGGATCCTGGAGAGCTCCTGGGTTCCTTCTGCTATGA